AGTAGAAGTAGCAAGACGTACCTGAAATCTTGCATGTGTACGAGACAGAAAAAAAGACACCAGCAATCCTACCATCGTGTAAAACAATTACAAGCTTCAGTTTTACACTCACTTGGCAGGACGGTAGTACCTCCCTGGGCGGTTGCTGTCTACCAACCTACTACCTAGGAATATATATATACTTGGTGGGATACGGCCGGTTTGTTGAAAAAAAAAAAAAAATATATATATATATATATATTTTTTTTTTCAACAAGTCGGCCGTCTCCCACCGAGGCAGGGTGACCCAAAAAAGAAAGAAAATCCCCAAAAAGAAAATACTTTCATCATCATTCAAATATATTTTCTTTTGGGAATTTTTCTTTCATTTTTTGGGTCACCCTCCCTGTGGGATACGCCGACTTGTTGAAAAAAAAAAAAATAATAAATAAAAAAAAATAAAATAATAAATAAAAATATATAATCTATATATTATATATCTATATATATATATATAATATATAATATATATATAATATATATATATACAATTTTTTTTTTTTTTTTTTTTTTTTATTCAACAAGTCGCCGTCTCCCTCCAGGCAGGGTGACCCAAAAAAGAAGAAAATACCCCCAAAAAGAAAATGACTTTCATCATCAATCAACACATTCACCACACTCGCACATTATCACTTGTTTTTGCAGAGGTGCTCAGAATACAACAGTCTAGAAGCATAAACATATAAGATACACAACATATCCCTCCCAAACTGCCCAATACCCAAACCCCACCTTTAAAGTGCAGGCATTGTACATCCCATTTTCCAGGACACTTCCCGACTATATGAACATAACCGTTTCCCTGATCCCTTCACAAATATTACCCTGCCACACTCCAACAGATCGTCAGGTCCCAAGTACCATTCGTCTCCAAATTCACTCTATCTAACACGCTCACGCACACTTGCTGAAGTCCAAGCCCTTACCCCACAAAACCCTCCTTACACCCCCTCTCTCCAACCCATTCGAGACGACCCCGTACCCCGCCTTTTCCCTTCCCTATAGATTTATAAGCTTTCCATTCATTCTACAGTATCCATTCTCTCTAAATGACCAACCCACCTCAACAATCACTCTTCTGCCCTCTGACTATACTTATAACTCCACACCTTCTCCTAATTTCCACACACCCGAATTTTCTGCATATATTTACACCACACCATCCTGTGTTTTGGCTGAAAACAGGACATCTCCCGCTGCCTCCAACCGTCTCCTCGATGCTGCATTACCACCCAAGCTTCACACACATATAAGAGTGTTGTCTACTATACTTTCATACATTCCCGTCTTTGCCTCCATCAGATAAACGTTTTTTGACTCCACATATACCTCAACGAACCACTCACCTTTTTCCCTCATCAATTCTATGATTAACCTCATCTCATAAATCCATTCGCCGAACACGTCACTCCCAAGTATCTGAAAACATTCACTTGCTTCCATCTCCTCCTCCCCAATTTGCTACCAATTTTATCTTTATCTAAATCATTGACACCCTCATCACCTCTACTCTTATTTCTATTTCACTTTCAACTTTCTACCTTTACACACATTCCCAAACTCATCCACTAAACCTTTGCAATCTTTTCTTAGAATCACCCATAAGCACAGTATCATCAGCAAAAAGTAACCGTGTCATTCCCTATTTTTTGAATTATGAATTCCCATAATTAATCCCACCCCACTCCCAAACACCCCAGCATTACTTTCCTTTACAACCCCATCTATAAATATATTAAACAACCATGGTGACATTACACATCCCCGTCTAAGACCTAACTTTTAACCGGGAATAGTCTCCCTCTCTTCTACACACCCTAACCTGAGCCACACTATCCTCTATAAAACTCGCTCTTTACAGCATTTAATAACTTACCACCTATTCATATTACTTGCAACATCTGCCACATTGCTCCTCTATCCACTCTATCATATTGCCTTTTCTAAATCCACAAATTCAATAAAAACTTCCCTAATCTTTATCCTAAATAAATACTGTTCACATATATGCTTCAATGTAAACACCTTATGCTACACATCCCCTACCCCCTCCTAAAAACCTCCTTGCTCTTCCGCAATCCTACATCTGTCTTCCTCTAATTCTTTCATTATAACCCTACCGTACACTTTTTCCAGGTATAACTCAAGAAAGCTTATTCCTCTATAATTTTTACCAGTCTCTTTGTCCCCTTTTCCCTTTATATAAAGGGACTATACATGCTCTCTTCTGCCAATCCCTATGTACCTTCCCCTCTTTCATACATTAAAAAAACAAAGTACCAACCACGTCCAACACTAATATCCCCCCCCTCTTTTAAAACAAATTCTGTCATGATCCCATCAGTTCCAGCTGCTTTACCCCTTTCATTATACGTAATGCCTCACGTACCTCCCCCACACTTACATTCATTGCTCTTCTTTCACTCCTAAAAGATGTAATACCTCCTGAACAGAGCAAGAA